CACACACACACACACACAGAAGAGCTCCTCCTCCTCCTCTTGATTGACACCTTAGCTCCTCCTCCTGCTGCTGCTCAGCCAGATCTCACTACAGTCTGATTATGCAATGGCACGGCATGCTGCTTCTTCCCTGCCTCCTCTGTTTTCAAATGATCCACGCTGTGAGTTTCAATCAGAGAATCACAGGAGCACCTGGTCTCACGCAGGCAGGAGGGAAGCGTCACATGTGAGCCACAAATATGAACTCCACAACCTCAAGAACAGCGAGATTACATTACAATAATACAAAACAAAACGACTCTGCTGCCATTGCGATCAACATCTGTCGAGATAGAATGACGGACAGGAGCGCGGTCTGTGATGCATAGTGTTTGCTGTGGCAGACTGCATCATATATTCTGATGGAGGAGAGAGAAACAGCTGCTCTTCTGAACTCTAATTTGTGTCACCAACTCAAAACAGACATTAAATTCCTCTGAGCACTGAAAATCCAGTGAGAGGTTATTCTAATACTCAAGCTCTTCAAAAAACCTGGATATATGTGTTCAAAAACTGTAATGCGATTTGCTTTCAATAAACTCCAGTTTCACTCCACTCACACACTCACACACTCTCTCACTCACACACACACTCTCACAATCAATCACTCACTCACACACACACACACACTCACTCACTCACTCACTCACACTCTCTCTCACACACACACACACACATCTGGTCAGCTATCCTTGTGGGGACTCTCCATAGGTGTAATGGTTTTTCTACTGTACAGACCGTATATTCTATTGCCCTACACCAACCCTACCCCTAAACCTACCCCTCACAGGAAACTTTGTGCTATTTCAGATTTTCAAAAATCTTCATTCTGTGTGATTTATTAGCTTGTTTACCCGTGGGGACCTCAATTTAGGTCTACAATTATATCGTTCAGGATCCATGACAATGGTTTTTTACAGGAGGATAATCAAAGGAAGATGTTTTATTCAGAAGGTCTCTACAGTATGAGAGCTGAACACAGCATGCAGTAATAAGTGTTCATGATGCTGATCGACCAGAAACAACACGGAGCTAAAAGAGTCAAATGTCTTGATTTCCTTTCCTTTCTAGGCTTTCAAAGCTCTAAACCAGCCTGAGACAGCAAGGTTTGCTCATTGAGTCTATATTCACCACTGCACTGCATTGTATTTGATTGCCTGTTTTTTTATTACTGTGTCATTTTCCATTGCATCGCCTTCATGCTCGTGTGTGTGTGTGTGTGTGTGTGTGTGTACTCTGTCTGCTCTGGAAGCTCCAGTCATCACAAACACAGTAAAAGCACTGGATCACCGCGAGGCACATGTGGTGTGATTCTTCTGAGGCTCAATCACATCTGAATACTGATATCTGATCGATATGAATCTGCTTTCAGGAGACATGAAGCTCATTTACACACACTCTCTGATTATATGCTGGAAATAAATCATGCATTCAGCGACTGGAAACTGGCATAACTCAGCTTCACACCTGAACTCAAGAGCTTTCACTTTCATGCCGCTTCCACGCGAGAGACGCTCCGAGCAGCAGCGCGTTACCGTCACCGACGCGACGCGACCCCGGTGACTCCGCCACAGCACAGCCTGAAGCGCTCTTACCTTCGAGACACATGATGAAGATGATGGCCAGCAGACCGTCGGATCTTCGTCTTCCGGTGCGGAGCGCGGAACTCCTGTTGGTTTCGGTCCCCGGTGATCCGTCCATGTCTTCCGCGGGACGCGCAGGTGCGCCGCAGGTCAAACGCGTTCACAAAGAAGCGTCGCGGTGAGAGCTCGGTGGCGGTAGAGGAGTCGCCGGTAAGAGTGTCGACGCAGCGCAGCTCAGCGGATCGTCTGTAGTCCGTCGGAAGCAGCGGGTCACTTTACTCGGTCCCGGGTTCGCCCGCTCCTCTCTCTCTCTCTCTCTCTCCGGTGCTTCCGGTTTCAGCGCTCCGCTCACTCCGGGAAAACGCGTCCAATGCCGCTTCCCGCTGGCAGAACTGCGAAACACCGAGAGACACTTCACATGAACACTTATTTTGTATGTTTTTTTAAACCCAGCAAAGAATGAACGCCCTGTGTTATAAACAGTGGCGTGTAAAACTAGTCTTGCATATTTAGTTCACCCCAAACGGGCCAGTAATATTTGCTCTGCCACGTGACTTCTGCTGCTTGACTTCACAGAGTAAGGACCATTAGGAAATTAATATTAACCACAGAAGAGGTGCAGATTTTGCAATAAATAATAAATAAAAAAAACAGTAACACCTTACAATAAGGTTCCATTAGTTAATGTGTTAACTAACATGAGCAAACAATAAACAATACATGTATTACTGTAACGATGGGGAGCGTGACAACTAGTGCAAGTGCAGGCTTTGTTCCAAGAGTGGTCAAAACAGGCAGATCAAACAACAGCACACAGGTATAACCAAGAGTAATGCAATAAACAATCAATAACAAGGCAAGGCAATAAACACGGAGAACACAATGACAAAACATACCATACAACACTGAGCAATGAGTGTGTGTAGAACCAGGCTTTAAATAGGGTGAGACTGATGAGGAAACAAGACACAGGTGAACGCAGCAATGGTCAGGACAGGCAGCAAACAATCAAAAACAAGGCAAGGCAATAAACACGGAGAACACAATGACAAAACATACCATACAACACTGAGCAATGAGTGTGTGTAGAACCAGGCTTTAAATAGGGTGAGACTGATGAGGAAACAAGACACAGGTGAACGCAATCACCGGCAAAGGATTATGGGAAATGTAGTCTGTGATAGAGTGGCACGAGTCAGAGGCGGAGGGCCCTCTAGTGGAGTTCATAGACAATTACAGTATTTATTAATCCTTGTTAATGTTAGTTCATACAGTAATACAGTCGTTCATTGTTAGTTCATGAGTACATTAACTCATGTTAACAAGCACAGCTTTTGATTTTAATAATGCATTAGACTAGTAAACGTTGACTTTATTTAACATTAAGATTAATAAATGCTGTAGAAGTATTTTTCATACTTAGTTCATGTTAACTAAAGTAGTAACTAATGAACCTTATTGTAAAGTGTTACCAAAAAAAAAATAGACTGCAGCAATTAACATTTAGTCAGAACCTCTAGTAAATGACATGCTGTTTAGTTTAGGTGTCTGTTCAGAATCGTGGGAGAATCATCATCATCTCTATTTGAAACCAAAATAAAGAATTGTGATTGTCAGTTTATGCAGGACCGTGCAGCTCTGCTCCTGTGTGCCACTATCATTTCAGAAGTGCCAAATATAATAATACCTTTTCTTGTCTAATTGACAGGTTTTAAACTAATGAACCTTATTATAAAGTGTTACCAAAAAAAAAATAATAATAATAGACTGCAGCAATTAACATTTAGTCAGAACCTCTAGTAAATGACATGCTGTTTAGTTTAGGTGTCTGTTCAGAATCGTGGGAGAATCATCATCATCTCTATTTGAAACCAAAATAAAGAATTGTGATTGTCAGTTTATGCAGGACCGTGCAGCTCTGCTCCTGTGTGCCACTATCATTTCAGAAGTGCCAAATATAATAATACCTTTTCTTGTCTAATTGACAGGTTTTATTATTATTATTATTATTTTCTTATCTATTACTTTTAATTGGCTGAGAAATCAAATACACTGCTGGACAATAACCAATAATTATAATACCGGCCTGATTAATTATCAAACCACAGAACTGACTGTTCGTCTCTGCTTCTCTCCATTCCAGCCTGATGAAGAAACACACTCATCCTGATCTCAGATGAGCTGAGGGTGAGGATATTCACATTTCTGCTGAATTTTCATTCCAGTAGCAGCTGCCATCATGACCAGCCACCGACTTTCATTTTACAATAACACATCTTTAAATACAGAAACGATCTTGGACAGGGGTGTAAAAATTGTCACAATTTATTAACATGATTTTCTCAACACATCTGGGCAGAAATAAATGGCATTGATGGTAACAGAGTTTACTGCAGGTAAAATCCACCCTGATGACCTCCTCAAGAGCTCTCAGTGTTTCTGTTCCTACATTTACAACCTGAGAGGATCCCCCATCATATTTACACCACCACATAATCCATAATCCATAATCACATTCATAACGGTCCTGTAATGATTTTGCACTCGACGTTTCATCATTCAAGCTCTCGACTGGAAACTGACAGCATTAATACAACAGATAAACCTGAATGAGCTGATATACAGATAATATTCATGCAATAACCCATTTACTCAAAAATATATTTAAAAAAAGAAAAACCCTGATACCATGACAATATTAAGACGTGCACACAGTGAAATCAAAGTCCCTGTTGTAAAGAAACAGGAAAATATGATTTAAGGTAACAGAAATCAGTGGTTTTATACGTAATCTTGCAGCATTTACAGATTATGACCCAGTTATGTCATTTCTGTAGATATAATCTGACATCTGCTCTGCGCTTTATACAGTGAGCTGAATATTCACGATATATTGACCTTTAAGAGACGCAGCATCAGTCTGAGCATTAAAAGAGAAACGGCACAGTGTGTGTGTGTGAGTGTGTGTGTGTGTGTGTG